TATACTGAAATTTAAAAAATTTAAAAAGCAAAGGGCTGGGTAGGAGACTAGAAAGGTGGCTGGCACAAAGGCTCTGGTTTCAGTCACCAGCACTAAAGCCTCTGCTGCCATGTCGCTGGACCAGGGCTCATTGGCAACACGACATGAATACAAGCAGAGTCATATCATGGTGTTTTCAGCACCCTAAAGGAAGATCCCTATAGGCTGGATGGAGGAGATTAAAAATACATTTTATACAAAGGATCACATTGGGCCAGGGAGATGGCTCAGTAGAATAAGCGCTTGCCTGGCAAGCACAAGGGCCTGAGTTCAATCCCCAGGTCCGCCCCCCAAAAAAAATTTATCCCTAAGGATCATATAGCACAGTATGACGCATGATAGCAAATTAAAAACCAGAGACACAGAGATACCTTCAGAATTTCAAAGACATTTAAAATAGAATTCCCTAGAGAATCAAAGGACCGACTGAGTCATCTCTTCACTCCTTTCTGAGTATCAACTCTTCTTTCCTTACCTCTCCCAATCCTTAATGGCTCCACTGTTTTCCTCCTCCAGTTCCTATTATTTTGTGATGAAAGAACATTAGATGCCTAATGAAAACACCCTGCTTGCATTACTAACACCTTACCTACTTCCTTTTAGCCTGTAGTTTTTCACTTGTAAGTAGGGATAGGACTATTCCCCGAGGACACCAGATGATCACCTACAAGTACTCCGCAGTGCTGAACTCATCCACTGAAGTGTCTGCAGGGTGAATACCTGAGACATCCACAGCACACTGCCAAAGAACACCCATCTGCCTACGAGCTCCTCTCCTATGCCTGGCTCCCACCTAGAACACTCTGATGTACAATGCAACGTCCTTGGCAAACCATGAACCTGAGCAAGGCCGAGACGTGGACGGGAAAACTGGACTTACCTGGAAGGAGGTAGGGATACAGACGACGCTCAGATTCTCCTCCTTCACTCTTTCCGCTGTGAAGACACAAGGCAGAGCGGTGAGTTTTCACTCTTCTGTCGTCCCCTTGTTCAAATTCGGTGTCCCCAGGCACAAGAAGAAAATCAGGGGCAGATACAGTAGGAACCGAAGAGGTGAGTGTGCGCTTAGTGCTTGCTATTGCTATGGGCCTGGGCACAGGTTAAGAACTTGGAATAAACAAGCTGGTTGAGATTATCATCCCTACTTTATAGATGTAGAATTGAGGCACTAAGCAGAAAAGTATATAACTCAGTAGTAACTGGTAGGTGTAAGAGGAAGGGCTGGAATATGATCCGAGGCACCTTAGCCTTGCAGTCCTATTAACCACTACCTTATGCTGCCTTTGCCAAGACAGTTATAACTTTATTCTTGCATTTAACAAAAATATAGTAATTTGTCGATCCCAAAGGACAGTTAGAAGGGGAAGTGGTTTATTCACTTTGGATCTGCTTATTTATTCACTTTAAAAGTTTAATGTTTAAAAATATCCTAAGCTGGCCATAGTGACACATAGCACAGAGGCTGAGGCAAGCAGATCACAAGGTCAAGGACAGCAAGTCTTGTTTTCAAAGAAACCAAAAAGAAGAAG